GGGGGGGCGGGCCTGCAGCGGCAGAGGCTGGCGTGACGTTGCAAGAGCGTGAGGCGCGCCGTGCATTCTCCTGGGGTAGTTGTCCCTGGATCCCGGGACCCTGGCAGTGGTGGGCTGCACAGGCTTCCCGGAAGGGGGGTGTGGATTGTGACCTGTGCTCGCACACAGGCTTCTTGGTGGCGGCAGCAGCAGCCTTAGCGTCTCATGCCTGTCTCTGGGGTCCGCGCTTTTAGCCGTGGCTCGCGCCCGTCTCTGGAGCTCCTTTAAGCAGCGCTCTTAATCCCGTCTCCTCGCGCACCAGGAAACAAAGAGGGAAGAAAAAGTCTCTTGCCTCTTCGGCAGGTCCAGGCTTTTCCCCGGACTCCCTCCCGGCTAGCCGTGGCGCACTAACCCCCTGCAGGCTGTGTTCACGCCGCCAACCCCAGTCCTCTCCCTGCGCTCCGACCGAAACCCGAGCCTCAGCTCCCAGCCCCGCCCGCCCCGGCGGGGGAGCAGACAAGCCTCTCGGGCTGGTAAGTGCCGGTCGGCACCGATCCTCTGTGCGGGAATCTCCCCGCTTTGCCCCCCGCACCCCTGTTACTGTGCTCTCCTCCGCGGCTCTGAAGCTTTCCCCCTCTGCTACCTGCAGTCTCCGCCCGCGAAGGGGCTTCTAGTGTGTGGAATCCTTTCCTCCTTCACAGCTCCCTTGTCCCATCCCTATCCTTTTGTCTGTGTTTATTCTTTTTTCTTTTGCCCTCCCCAGGTACATGGGGGGTTTCTTGCCTTTTGGGAGGTCTGAGGTCTTTTGCCAGCGTTCAGTAGGTGTTCTGTAGGAGTTGTTCCACGTGTAGATGTATTTCTGGTGTATCCGTGGGGAGGAAGGTGATCTCCGCGTCTTACTCTTTCACCTGGCATATACTCTTAACACATGTGGGGATATGCTTTGACGAGGAAATTGAGAAATTTTTTTCTGTGGTTGTCCAATAAACATTTTTAGAATAGAATTATATCTTACCAAACTGTCCTTTAAATTTGTGGGAAAACTTTAAAAAAGACAAAACTAAACCTTTTTTAGGGACTCAACATTCTCTTAACGAGTCATTACAGATAATATAGCTATGATAAAAATGCTTTTTAAGCAACAATAACAAGCAAAGCTTGATTTAGTCCAGTGCTAGTCACTCTTCAGTGAGCATGAGCGCAGCAGAGGAATGTTGCTACACAGATTTCTGGGCTCCATCCCCAAAGGTTCCCATTTGGGAGGACATGGGTGGAGACTAAGCATTTACATTTCATGTTTCGAATAAGCTCCTGGGTGCCATTGATGCTGCTGAACTGTGAACCACGTTTTGAGTAGCATTCATTTAGGGATAACCTAAGAAGCATAGTGTGTGCTAACAATTTAAATTATGTTTTTCAGAAAAATAATTTCAACTGTTCCAGAAGAGGTCAGTGCCCAGAAACAAATATCAGTTCTGTACAGATGCAAGATGATGCCAATTACTTCATCAACCATCTTGGAGTTCCCACCGTGAGGTTTACTTATGAGGACATCAAAGCATTAGAGGTGAGTGTTTCCAAAAATGCAAAACACACACAATATATATAGCAGACATGCAGAATTTTATTTTATCCTGGCTTTTTTGTCTTTCTTACCCAATAGGTAACTATAAGAAGCTGCTTCATTTAGAAAGTTATTCTTGTTGTTCAGAGGCTTTGTAAGAATATTTGAAAACATCAGCTCTTTTCAATAGTGTTGAATTCAATTTAAAAAGATTTATACAGTCACTCACATTTTCAGTGTGCTTCGCAGCAAGAAATGTGCAGTTGTTGGATTAACATCAAACTGTAATTGTAATCTTCAGAATTCACAGAAACAGATGACATGTGCCATAGATTATCCTCTTCTTGCCCAAGGGAAAGTGAATTTCATGTGCTGTATGTTAATGTGAGTCTTGTGGATTAGCTTCCCAAAGTTTGTCAATAGTTTGCTTGCCTAAAAAGATGCTACTTTTTTTGTGTGTGAGGATACGAAGTTTTTTCCCAAAGAATATCACAGAGACCTGATTCACCTTAAGTATGTTCATTCTTCTGTTGGACATTAAGCCTTTTAATCTTTCTCAGAGTTATGTCACAGGAAACTGTTTCTCTGTAGATCCAAACCTGCTGAAAGACTTTTCCTTCTTTTACAAATTGTGCATGCATTATTGGGAGCTATTTGAAAGCCTCTGGGGTGGCCTTCTTGATGTAACTATTTCATTAACAAAATAGTGGCTGAAAAATAGACTAAAACCTTCTTTGTTTTTCAAATTATAAACGTTCCTGGGAAGTTGTGTTTAAATTATATTTTTATCAACGTCAGATATGCAATATCTTAACGTCTGATAGCTTTTAGCAAAAGTGACCTTTAGGTTTCTCTGCACCCCTCTACCCTCACCCCTTACTCCCTCAGTAGACACAAATGATCACTAACAACTTAAATTCACAGATGGAGAAACTCTGGTGACTCCTATTGTAATGAGATGAATTCTTGGGTAATGCAAAAGTAATCACTGTGATTTATCAATTTTTTAAAATTGAATTTTCATGTGCTATTGCTGTTTGAAAACGGGGTACATGTATAGAGGTATCTTTCCTCTTACCAAAACTACTACATATAATGAAACTGATGTATTAAGAAATTAACTCACTTTTAATTTTCCTGCTTGATATCTTCTAACATCTTTTTATCATCCCCACCCCATCCCAGCCCATCCAGCTCCTGTCATGTTAACACATTGAATGAAAGCTTTTATTCATTTTGGTTGAGTTTAAGCCAAGAATTTAGAGAGGCAATGTAGTATAGCCTTAGGTATGGCACTAGACTTGACTCTGAACTCAAGTACTAGACAAATGATTTAACTTCTTTCAGAATTGGTTTATAGATGAGGGGAACTTGGTATACTTATGGAATCTAGAGAGCCATGGTAAGGATTAAATGAGGTTATGCATGTAAAGGGCTTGGCTAACTTTAAGCATATAATAGGACCTCCAGTAACTATAGGTATCATCACAATTATTATTATGATTTACATATTAGGGAGAATTTCTAAACTTTTTCAATAAGAAGACATTAGTGGGAGGGAGGAGCTTGTGAATCGTTAAGAAAAACAAGCTTCTAAGGCTGAAGAGGTGGGATTTGATGAGGATCAGCTGGAAGATCTGAGGTGTTAATGGGAGAAGATTTGGAAACAGGTCCCAGTGATTTTCTCAGAAGGTACTATTATAATGTGAAACACCTCAGGCTAAAGTTTATTGGCTAGAGCTGGCTTAGTCTGAAGAAGCTAATCAGTCTTTCAAATTACACACAGAATGTCTAACTCCCATCAAAATCATTTTCATTTTCTACTGTATTTGTCTCCAAAAAAGCAATTAAAAGAGAATCTTCTATGCTTTATAACTAATGACCTTGTTTATATTGCTTTAGTGTGGAAAATTTTTTTAATGGATTTGTCCCTTACAAAATATGAATGCTTGAGATGAGATAATTTTGTACGGTAAGTTCTCCAAAGAACAGATAATGATCTTTGCTTTCTGCGTTAACCTATAATAGATATCTGTATACAGTTATTAAGAGGAATTATAAACATTGAAAGTTTTTACCCATGATATAAAGGGTATTTATCCTATGTCAATTAGTAAAAGCTGGTAAGGAAGTTAGAGCTTTTCCCATGCAATTAAATTTAAAATATATGTTATATTTTTGTATTGCATAATATACTATATGTATAGTATGTAATATCTACCACTTATTGAGTGCTTGCTTTGCTAAAACTTTTATATTAGCAAATATTTTATATTACCTCATCTCATTCAATATTTATGATATCCCTGTGAGTCACCTTTTATTATTAACACTTTTTTTTTCTGAGGATGAAATGGAGCTTAAAATCAAGTAGCTGATCCAAGGTCATAAAGCTAATAAATGGCCAAGATAGAAGTTGACCTTCGATCTCTTTAACAGTAAGCCCATGTTCTCAACTATTAAACTAAAGTTTGTAAATTGGAAGCCCCAGGGCCAGATCCAGTCCACAAATACCTTTTGTTTGTTCTGCGCTTTATTGAAAACTTGAATTTTTGGGAGAAATGGATTCCTTTTTTTCCATGGAAACAATTGGCTAAATTGTGCATTATGATTACAATGTTAAAGAATATTTCTTCAATATCTCTTTCTATCAAAAATTGGGAAATGAATGATTGATCAACCTAAAGGACCACATGTTTCACCAGACTTGTATCACCTCTATTACCTGTTTGGCCCCTGTAGGAAGTGAGTTCATTATCTTTGCACTAATTTTGAGTAAAAAAGTTAAAGTTGATAATTTTGGAGTCCTTTCTTTCACTTTAAAAATTGTATATGCACTCTAAGTGTGCTAATTTATACTCATATTTTTGAAGAAACTATCCATTCAAAATTTATTTAGATGATTATAATGCAAGCCTTAGAATTTCTGACAGTTTTTTTAATCCAGCAAGATTGATTATAAGTATTTTACACTCAATTTCAAAAATAATGATAATAAGAGAAAAATTACTTGTAGGAAAGTAGATTAGTGCCGTAGACACCACTTTTTATGGACATATGGGACATTATTAGTTCTAAAATTATTTGATGAAATATGACATTTTATAATATCTATTCCCAGTATTTCATACTATCCACATTCCCACCAGCAATTTCTCCCTGTAGTTTCTCTGGATGCCTGTATATTGCATAGATTGCTTGTGGCACCTTTCATCTTTAGCTTTTTTGGCATCTATACTCTAATTTTTCAATAATTAAATTTCACAAATGGAAAGCAATCTATGGGTTTGCCAAATGTTAGAATTATTCCTTCTCATAAGATATCACCTTGTTAATTGAAACGTCTCTAGTTGTAAACTTCATTTAAATAAGGTTTTCAATTTGTAAACATTGTTGCACCTGTTAGGAGAAGCATTCTGCACAGATTAAATACAATGCAGAGATTGCTGAAAAGGAAATGAAAAGACAGATGCTTTCTGATTAAGAGTGCAATATTTATGACAAGCTGGTGGTCCAATGCACATTTCTTCTGTCACTTAACAGCTGTTTCACATAACTTTTGTTCCAGATCAGTATATTTACTCTATATAGGGCATGTCAGAGGGTCAGGCTTTCTTAGTATACCAAAAGATCAATCCTTGCCCTAGTAAACTTTATATTACAGTTTGAAGCTCTGATTCTTCACTCTGTTTAACCTTATATTTTTTGCTCTTCTGCTTTAAAAATTCCTTTTTAAACCCAATTTACCTCTATAATGGAGCATTTAACATTTAAATGATAATGAGATAAAAGGGTATGATAGCTTTTATATAGCAGGGGTCTTTGCATAATTGTTTTAATGTCCTTTGGTAATCCAGAAAACGAAAACCAAGTAGCCTAGGTATTTTGAAACTCTTATTAATTCTTTTTAAGTTAGATGAGTTTGATATCAATCTGATTCTTAAACTGATAGACAGCAGCATGAGAGTGTGTGTGTGAACTTTAAGGTAATTTTATGGGATAAAAATGATAATTTGTGCAATACACATAAATACATTTTGGAGCAAAGTAACTCATAGTTTACATGTTGATTCTTTGTTTTATTCTACTAAGTTGAAGAAAAACTTATCTTACTTAAATTAGAGGTCATTCTGTCATTACATTTTCTGTTGGGAAATTAGTCACTGTCATTGTTATGTTAACAGATAATAAGAATTCAAAAGTCAATTAATATCTCTTGACTTGAGACCAAGTAGTTTGTGTAACTATACATAGGCTGTACTGATGTTTTGTAGTATATGATAGAATTTGTCTTATACTGATAGCTATGCAACTAATTAATGTCACTTAGAAATGAGATTTTACCTCTTCTACTTCAAGATGTGCCAGCTGGAAACGGGGTGGAGAGGGGGTCTTCAGTGTTCTCTCTAGCTCATTCCTTTTCTTTGTAAGTTATTTTAGGAAAAGGAAAATGTCAGAACAAAATATATGGTTTGGTTATTTTCAGATCAGACCTGCTTCATTTAGAGTAAAGGTTTTCAAACATTTTGTTCTAAAAACCCATTTGCACTCTTCGAGTACTGAGCACTCCAAAGAAAAGAGCTTTTTGTTTATGTGAGTAATATGTGCAAATATTTACCATATTAGAAGTTGAAACTGAAGAAATATATATAGTATTTATTAATTCTTTAAAAAGATCAGTAATATACTTGTTATAAATTAATATAAATAACTTATTTTTATAAAATATAGTTACATTTCCCAAGACAAGAAAACATAAATGAGAAGAGTGCACTGTTTTACATTTTGCCAGTCTCTTTAATGTGACTTAATACTTGGTAGCTGGGTTCTCGTATCTGTTTCTGCATTTAATCTGTTGTAACATGTTGTTTTGGTGGAAATATATGAATGAAATATGGTCTAACAGTCTATTCATATAATGACAGACATTCTTCTTTGATACTATACTGAAATGGCAAGTATTAGTTTCCTAAAGGTCCAGTATGGAATCTGAAACCCTATTA